AATCGATCATGGCTTCCTTTGATCTTGAATAAATCACGAATGTTAAAGCAGTCCCGCAATTTATGCTAATTATTCCAAGCCAACCTGGATCACAAAACTTTAGACGTATTTTAAGAATATTTTCAAAATTCAGCCTTAAACTCAGTAATATATAAAATGATGCGGAAAAATCTCGTATATTAGAATTTACGCTAATAGATTTTAAAAATCAAACTTAAAGAAAAAGATTAAATATTTAAGACCATGGCAGTGTGGATTTAAAATTTTAATTATATTTAATTATATGTAAGAACGTGAACTTTCTTTCTTGAAAACGTTTCAAGTTTCATCTTTTTGATTCAGAAGTCGTAGGATATTTGGTGGAGAATATATGCAAGGGGTAGAGGGACACCAGGGGGGACATATTCAACCTACCCAGGGGGTACCAGGAGGAGCAGGGACATATTCAGTATACACCCCCTGGCAGGGGTTAGTAGGAGGGTTGGATCAGGTCAGAAACCAGCAGGAAGGAACCATGATGACAGGAACAGTGGGAGAGGAGAGGAGAAGAAACCAAGAAAGTTAGGAAAACAGATGACTAGTGGACGTAATCGAACCCCGGGGGTGAGTCAAATTTTCAAGTTTTTTTTCCTAATGTTGAGTAAATTTTAGATGACCCTCCGCTGTCCAATTAAATATTACCAGTCAGAGATTCACTTGCTAACCTTTGAATATAAATTACTGATCGATCCATAAACATAAGATAAAAATTGACTCGTTTTGAATTTTCTACAGATGTGTTAGAAAATGTCCCTGATTTTTCTTATTCCATCGTAGGAAAACGACATCATCGTTATCAGACGAAGATTTGAAGGGTTTTAAGGTTTTAAATCGTCGATAATAGGGGTCACTTAAAAGATAGTCACATCCCTATATTAATATTTCTAATTTAAATATAAATATATGTAAATGTTGCGACATCTAATTTCATGTAATCGAATTGAGTCTTTGCCACCAACTCAAATTTTCTTATATCTTTGCAACCGGATGGTATAAACCCTTTATATTCTAAACTTAGATATTTTGATCTAACAGAAATTATAGTTTAAAATATCAAGGTCAGCAACGCGACGTTGGGTTCCAAACATATGGGGTAAATCAAAGTTTGTGGCAAAGATTCAACTCCTTTTATAATGGATGCATTTTAGTCCGAACTCTTTTCTCATGAAAGTCTAATTTTGGATGATTAGTAAAACCTTAAACTAAGAAACCTAAGAGAATGAGAAGCAAGCGCCTAACTAACCTTAACAAATTCTAGTACGTGATGGTATTCCATAGTGCTAGAGCTGGAGTGAACTTGGAGTAAACACGTTCTTGTTTTTACTTTTCTTTTAATAAAACTAACATAAATAAATTCTTGAATAGCCTAGATTGCGGATTTAAACCTAGAACTGTTATAGGATACAGATACAACCTAGATATAAATAGGATACAGATACAGCCTAGATACATGAAGGATACAGACACAACCTAGATATAAATAGTATACAGATACAGCGCCCAGATACATGAAAGATACAGACACAACCTAGATATGAATAGGATACAGATACAGCGCCTAGATACATGAAAGATACAGATACAACCTAGATACATATAGGATACAAATACAACCTAAATATAAATAGGATAGAGATACAACCTAGATACATAAAGGAAACCGAAACAAATCTAGATATAATTAGGATAAAGAAAGAACCTAGATACATAAAGGATACAGATACAACCTAGATATAAAAAGAGGAAGAGATACAACCTAGATGCATAATGGATGCAGATACAACCTAAATATAAATAGGATACAGATACAGCCTAGATACATGAAGGATACAGATACAACCTAGATATAAATAGGATACAGATACAACCTGAATACATAAAGGATACAGATACAAGCTAGATATAAATAGAGGAAGAGATACAACCTAGATACATAAAGGAAACAGATACAACCTAAATATAAATAGAGGAAGAGATACAACCTAGATGCATAAAGGATACAGATACAACCTAAATATAAATAGGATACAGATATAGACTAGATGCATAAAGGATACAGATACAACCTGAATATAAATAGGATACAGATACAGCCTAGATACATGAAGGATACAGATACAACCTAGATATAAATAGGATACAGATACAACCTTAATACATAATGGATACAGATACAAGCTAAATAAAATAGGATAGAGATACAACCTCGATACATAAAGGATACAGATACAACCTCGATACATAAAGGATACAGATACAACCTAGTTACGTACAAAATTCTGATAAAACCTTTATTTAGAGGAAATATAGATACAACTTTAATACACACTGGATAGAAATTCAACTAAGATACAATTAGAATGGGTTAATTTTTGTTTCCAACTTTAAAAAAAAATTGAGAGGTTGAGAAAAATTGGTAAACTATTGTTTTTTTTTGACTTTCAAAGATAAAATCCGGAATTGTGTAAGATCTAAGATGATCTAACAATTATCTAGTTTAATCTGAATATGTTGTGTTCTATCCCATAGATATATATCAATGTTCTCAGTTAGCCCAGACATAACATATTCAGCTACTGCATAAAGGAATGCTTTAACATTTATTGATTTGAATTCTGAATAATTTGACTGGTCTCTGAACCTGGACCAGTAGGGGTTGTATAATCATAGGAGTGAGGTTAGGAGTCCTGCAGGGTGCATATATTGGAGTTTATCAATATAATAGAACTCAAACAAGAAGTTATGAATCTTACAAAAGCAGATTTTTTAATTTATTTAAACTTTAAAATAGAGGTTTTCTGAAATCAGAACTTTTTTATGATTATCAGGATCAAGTATTGATCTCCATCATATGAAGATCTACAGATTAATTTTATTTATCTTCGATACACCGTGATGGTCATACCCTACAAGAATAATTTTAGTTCAAAGATCAAGCATTGATCTTTAAATTTAAAAGTATCCACATTTGATATCGAGATCAAGTATTCAAGATTAAAAGTATCCAAACAAAGTTCCGATTTCAGGTATTGAATCTCAAACTATATTTTTCCAACCAAAATTGTATATTTTATTAAAATCTAAATGAATTTCCATATTAAATCAATATAATAGAACTTAAATTTATTTAAAACAAATTCTGAACTTTTAACAATCTTACAAAAGCAGATTTTTATTTAATCTTTATAATAGANTATCGCATTAAGCCTTTACCCCCATTCATTTTTCGCGAACACTCCCTTTAAGTATGAGTTTAAAGTATATGATTAAAAAATGGTTGAATTCAAAAATTACTTTTTTTCATTTATACCCCAGTAGCGTTTCAACGTTCAAATAGATCAGAGGCCGAATTAAAAGAATTTGAGCCGCGGCTCAAAACTCGGTTTAAATTAAACGCCGGCTTAAATCTTGAAACATTTCATACAATTTTAAGTGGAACCAACCATATTTAAGTTGCGGCTTAAATTTAAGCCGCGCTCAAATTCTTTAAATTCGGCCTCAGATTTATTAAAAAATATTCCAATAACTGACAGCAGCACTATTTACCGCATTTAAGCTCTGTTCATTTAAATTGAACTTTTAAAAAAACATGCTGAAAATGAATAAAACAATATAAAAAAGTAATAAAATAATAATGATAATAATAATGATAATAATAATAATAATAATAATAATAATAATAATAATAATAATAATACAAGCATTGATCTCCATCTTATGCAGACCGACGGATTAGTTTTTTTGCTTTTCGGTATTCTATGGTGGTCATACCCTTTAAGGAAACTTTGATTAAGGGATTCACACCCAAGAGATATTTTCCAGAAAATGATTTATTGATTGCTTACTTCAATTTGACATTCGCACATTTTTCAAAAAATAATGTTGTTCAAGCTGAAAAATATTAAATATTTTTAATTTTGAACGGATTTCCAAACTATTCTATATAAATAAATTATTCTGTTTGTATTCTCGATCATAACTCAAAAACCCCTTAACCGATTTTCCTTAGATTTTGATTCAGGGAACTCTGTAGAGCCACAAGAATGTGTTTTAAGCTAGGTTTAAAATTCCGAATTCAGCGGGTCGACTTTCATAGAGAAATTTTTTAGTTTCCAGGCAAAGTTGGGTACCAAAGTTGGGTACCAAAGTTTGTCCTATTTTTAAATCTATAAGATGATGGTCGCAGTGCACGGCTCCCAACAATTTGGCGAGGCTCCCAATTTCAATACTGAATTGGTGGAGGGGGGGGGGGGGCGACTAAATTAATTCTATGATTGAGCCCCCTGTATATAGCAGTAGTAGTACATGTACAATAAATTACATTTATATCCTTGAAATAGGTAAATGTATTCTAGAAGTATAGATATGTCCAACTTACAAGATTGGCACCCAATGTTGAAACCTTCAAATCTATTTAAATCAATTTAAATGTGACCCTGACTGTCTAAGGTGGGCAAGGCGGGCACAGGAAGGAAGGAGAATGAATGAGTAGGAGAGGGAGGGGGGGGGACTGTTTGCCTTAAATGTGGGTAGTTGGAATGTCACTATTTTACCCTAACTGAAGAATAATTAAACCCTGCGGCCGAATTCTGAAATCCTGTAAAAGAAAAACAATATTAAAGTTGAAACTTTACTCCAAATATACTTGTCAAGCTGAACCTGCTCCGTGTCAAAATAAATACCCAGAGCAGCAATAAATTGAGAATTTATCTTAAAATGATTTATCCTGCAGGACCCAGGTGTCTCCATATTTTCAAATGTCACAACACAGCTTTATTATTATCAACACAGATATCTCTCCAAGCAAAATAAACAATCCCTCCCGTATTCTCCCCCCTAGATATTTTAAACTTTAGAATATGAAGTTTAATAGATCTAATATTGTCAAGGGAAGAAAAGAATGAGAAATGAATAGTTTAAAGAATATCTTTAAACATCCTATTTTCATTCAGATAAATTTATCAATCGGTATACTTTACATATTCCATATACTCCATATACTCCATATACTCCACATATTCCATATACTCCATATACTCCATATACTCCATATACTCCACATATTCCATATACTCCATATACCCAACATATTCCATATACTCCACATATTCCACATATTCCATATACTCCATATACTCCACATATTCCATATAATCCATATACTCCACATATTCCATATACTCCACATAATCCACATTGTCCATATACTCCATATACTCAACATATTCCATATACTCCACATATTCCACATATTCCACATATTCCATATACTCCATATACTCCACATAGTCCATATAATCCATATACTCCACATATTCCATATACTCCACATAATCCACATTGTCCATATACTCCATATACTCCACATATTCCATATACTCCATGTACTCCACATATTCCACATATTCCATATACTCCATAAACTTCATATACTCCACATACTCTCATCTACTCCATATACTCTCATCAACTCCATATACTCTCATCTACTCCATATACTCTCATTTACTCCACATACTCTTATCTACTCTATATACTCTCATCTACTCAACATACTCACATCTACTCCATAACTCTCATCTACTCCACATACTCTCATCTACTCCATATACTCTCATCTACTCCACATAATCTCATCTACTCTACATATTCCATCTACTCCACATACTCTCATCTACTCCATATACTCTCATCTAATCCATATACTCTCATCTACTCCATATACTCTCATCAACTCCATATACTCTTATCTACTCCACATACTCTCATCTACTTCATACACTCTCATCTACTCCATATAGTCATATCTACTCCACATACTCTCATTTACTCCACATATCTCTTCTACTCATTATACACTCTCATCTACTCCAAATATTTTTATATTTTTCTTATATTTAACTGATTCTTCTTATTCTTTAATAATTTTGTTTCACAGATATTCAAGACTGCGTTTATTCATCAAAATGTTGAGATATGATCACAGATTAAACAAATTGGTTAAACACATGCGTAATTATAATAATACTATAATGAAAAGCTATAAAATTTAGAAATAGAAAGGTTAGGGAACATTTAATACATAATTTACACCATTCTTTAATTGCACTTTAACTGCTATTCTCTCTCTCTTATTGGTTTAAACAACTATTAATATTTAAATTAATATGGCACGGTGTATAAACTGTAAATGCAGATTCATTCAACACTACAATCCTAGTTGAAACAAGGTTTCCCTTCTCCGGAACAAGGTTCAGTTAAATGCTCCTCAGCTCCACTGCTAATATTATCAAGATCATCATCATCCATCATAGGATCTGGAAACCCTTCGTCCGAGGCCGAGTCTGAGGAAACCTGTTCCATCTCCTCGAAGTCAAGATGAGGTCGTTTAGTTGGATTCTGACTCTTTCTCTTCCTATTCCCGTCCTCTCGTCTTAAGCTCTCCATATCTGAATCCTCCCTGGCTCGGTGAGAATTCTCCTCGGAGTTTTGATGATAAAGTTTTTGAAGATCTGATATTCTCTGTAAATCTTGGTGGAAGGTTTTAAAATCTGGAGGAAGGAATGGATTGAAACCTTGAAGTCCAGGGAAAGGTAACTGAGGAATACCATTAGCTGAGAATCCTCCCATCGGAAAGCTTTCTTTCGAACTTTCCTTGGGAATAAGTGGAGTTATTGGTCCAGGGTGTGTTCTTCCATCCGTCTGTGAGATTCTTCGTTTAACCTGAGGAGTATGAAGTTTAGGGTTTGGGTTGGCAGAATGTCTGTTCCTACTCCTTCTACTGCTAAACATCATGTTACAGCCGGGAACAGAACATTTATGCATTTCCCTGAGATGCACAGCGGAGAAATGTATCTTGAGTGCGCCCTTGTCACAGAAAGTTTTCATGCAAACGTTACATTGAACTCTTTTTTTACCGGTTGTAGGGCTGACATATGTAATTCCTATATCGTCAGGCATAGACGAACGCTTGGACTGACAGTCGATATCAAAAGAACTGCGACGACTGCTGGTGTCGCTCTCAAGCTCAAGGGGTTCCTTCTCCAGCTTCATATGCCGGGACAGGTTTAGAGCTCCGCTCATATCTTTATTCAGTTCTCTGTGGGGTGTATGGGGAAGGGAGACAGGAATACCAGGAAAAGGAAACATGGGGAAGTGACCAGGGAGAAGAGGAGGGATTGACATACTAGTTGGAGGCAGAGGGATACCGTTGGATATCCTTCGTGGGAATAGAGGGCTCCCCTTACCAGATATAGATACAGGAGCTGAGATAGGAGATTGCATTCTATAGGAGTGTGGAGAGGGGGTGCGAGGGATAGGTTTCTCATCCTGCTCAGGGGTTCTATTCTCCTCCTCTCTTTTACTTCTCTGATCAAAGTTATGATTAGTTACCATTTGTAACAAGGAGTCTCGTTTCCCCTCTTCACATTTAATGGAAGATTTCTCTTCTGACCGAAGCTCACTCTTGTCATTTATCTGAAACTTGTGTTTCTCCGGGGTAGTATTGAAACCCCTATCCGGAGCAGGATTGTAAGCTCTCTCCGTGAGATCCTGTATGATTAGCTGCTGGGTGATGGTTCTAGTTTCCTTGAAGAGAAGGAACTGTTGAAGAACCAAGGGTTCCTCCTGCTTACTGCACATGTTCCATCTATCCAGAGGGTTACCGGTACCATCCTGCAAAATTAAATAAATAAATTAACCGCGGATAAAAAGGTTTGAAGAGAACAATGAGCAGAGCAATGCCAGGAATGTCTTCTAAATGAAGGGGGAGAAGGCTCAATACTTTTAATTAATGAGACTAGGAGTGTAGCCTGGAGCTGTGACCCAGGTCCTGGCCTGCCAACCCACTGATGGATATGTGTCTCATACAATGGTTTGGGGAGGAGAATACTCCTTACTTTTCAATCCTGAGCCAACACATCAGTTTGTAATCGTTTTATATTTTGTCATAACACAATTCTAAATTCAGTTTAATTTTCTACTTTTCATAGTCAATGCATTTCAGAAGCAAATTTGTAATTGAGTTTGAAGTATTAAATATTAAGGAGTTTACCCGACAAATATTAGAAAATAATTCCACTCGGGTTTGAGTTAAGTTTATAGGAATATTACAAATCAAAAGTTTAACAAGGTTAGGAGCAGGAATACAAGAGGTTTAATGGTTCAACTGGGACCTGGAGATACAGTTAGGACATACAGTATTGAGATCTAGGGTAGAGAGATATATCATATAGGAGGAGGGATACAGGAATAGGAGATATGGTGTAATAGGAAGGAAACCTACTAATATCCTTTTTTATTTATATTTTTTCTCCACCTTCATTAAACTTTGATTTTTTAAAAAACTTTTTTACATATAATTCTTTGTACAGTGGATAGATATGTACAGGGTATGTTAAAAAACCTTTTTTGTTCATCCCCATCATTCCTGTCAAACTGCCCCCCCCCCCACCCCTATATTGTGTAGGTTGGGATGTTTTGTTAGAAACAATGGTTGGGATGCCGCCAGATGGAATATTGGACACTAAGAGATAGATTGATAGATGGATAGATACACAAATAAAATATATCAACAAAAAGAAAGAAAATGTTTGATGCTAAAAAGATATAAAATTTAAGAATTTTACAAAAATATGCAAGAAAATGCAAGACAGAAAAAGAAAGCAAAAAAGACTAAAAATTATGCAAAGAATTCTGTGGAGGTGGTTCTCAGCAATAAAATGGAATTAAAGAAAAGATAAATTGTTTTATTGATGGAGAAATGAAAATTATTTAATATCCTCGAGAGTTCTATTTAACTATAAATTTGAACTACGCTTTTGAAAGCGAGGCGGAATATTCTACTAATATTTAATTCAGGTTTACTTGGTTTATTAGATCTCATTATATGCCTTAATTACCATACAACCGGGGCTTACGCGCACCATGCCGATATTATCTAACCATCATAACGCCGCAGACGAGTCAGGATGGTTTTAATTAAAGGGATTGGTGACTATTTTTGGCTTTGCTTAAAGGGATTGGTAACTATTTTCGGTTTTATCTAAAGAGATTGGTGACTATTTTTGGTTTTACTTAAAGGGATTGGTGACTATTTTTGGTTTTATTTAGAGGGATTGGTGCCTATTTTTGGTTTTATTTAAAGGGATTGGTGAGTATATTTGTTTTTACTTAAAGGGATTGGTGAATATTTTTGGTTTTATTTAAAGGGATTGGTAACTATTTTTGGTTTTATTTAAAGGGATTGGTGAATATTCTTTGTTTTATTTAAAGGGATTAGTAACTATTTTTGGTTTTATTTAAAGGGATTGGTAATTATTTTTGTTTTTACTCAAAGGGATTGGTAACTTTTTTGGTTTTATTTAAAGGGATTAGTAACTAGTTTTGGCTTTGCTCAAAGGGATCTCAGATATGGGATTCTTCTCCAGTAGCTGGATTTAACAGGTCATTCATTGTCATCCATAACAACTGTTCTAGAAACATATAAAGTAAAGAACACATCTGTTTAAACCAAATTAAATATAATTTTCAAGTAATTACAAAGCAAAAACTGCCCTGGAACATACACATGGAGATGCAGAAGATTTTTCTTTTACCAAACAGAAACTAATATTTACGATCATAAAGGAATAGTGGTCAGCCCCCCCCACAGTGAAATTTGGCCAATCATATCTAGGTTCCAGACTCCGGAGCAGAACCTGCTCAAGGTACTGCCTGCACCTGGACCCAAGCCTAACCGCCCTATCATTGACCTGCGACACAAACCCAAACCAGATATTTGGCCTAGGACGGAGTTTTAAAAACGGTGGGCGTGTTTCTAAACCAGTTAGGGGCGTTCAAGGAATAGATTAGGTCCCTCCAGGGCCTAAAATCTTGGAAAACGATGCAATTTTTTTCATTCACCACTATCTTAAAAATACATTTTTTCATCGTTCTCTAGACAAATATAAAAACCTAAACTGCATATCATCAGTATTAATCTGTCTACATGAATACGTGAAAGTGGAGTGTGGATTATAAAGATGGATTTGATGGATAATTATCCCGCAAATAAACTTTTTATTGGACTAGATTTTGTCTATAAACATGAAATACACCTGGGACGGTTCAAGAACCAGGAGGACAGGGTTAACCAAAATTCATCGGATTTACAAAAAAAAAAATCATAAAGTATTTTTGCTTAAACCTTGCAATATCTCCCTATCTGGCTTTCTATTTTTTTAAATTCTTCATCGAGAAATATTTTAATGTACTAATCTTTTTCTGTTCCATCTAGTTGTGTTCTAATAGAGAGATATATCATATAGGAGGAGGGATACAGAATCCTATTATCTTGGAATATTCCTGGTTTACAGTTCTCCTATTTGATCCTATTATCTTGGAATATTCCTGGTTTACCTTTATTGTTTATATCTCTCTCATATATTTTAGTATTATTAGCTTAACATATTGTTATGAACGAAATGTTAAAAATGGCCAACATGTTAATTAAGCAAGGTCTGACCAGAATAAATGTCTAGAAATCTACGAAGATAAATTCTTGTTGGTTTCTCTTTATACAATGTGTTCGCACAGTCTGGTAATATTTAGGACGAATAGAATGACACCACGCAACATATGGTATGAATATGCGGCAACTTGGATTTAATTTACGCAAAAAGCGTAAACCAGGCAGTAGGCACTAGGCAATCATTGTATTCAACCCTTTTGTATACAGTTAGGACAGGGATAGCAATTCTTCTATAAAATGCAATAAAAAACTATAATTGATTTCGTTTTTTTATAGAAGGGGGGGGGGGTATTAGACAAAAGTTGACGAAAGCTGTTAAGAAACTGTCTTGTAATAAATAATCATTTCCTCACACGTACTTTCATCAATCATAAACCCTGAATATTAGCAGGTTTTAACTCCCTGGCTAGGAAAATAAATTCAACAAATAAATCATTTGTGGATAAATGCGGGAAATTGTTATTAATTACAATAATCACTATAATTCAATAAGTGATAATTATAATATTAGAACAAAAAATGTTCACTCACGTCAAATTGATATCTTTTACGAATGAAAGATTTTTCTGAAAAATAAAAAGTTTTGTTTTTCTGTAATGTTGATAGTTTACCTTTAATTTATATCCTCTAGTATAGTCCTCTATAGTCCATAAGCAGGAGGACAGGATCAACCTCTTCTCATCCTCGGACAGGTTGTTCATGGCTCTGTCCAGCAAGATCTTCAGTCGGGTTGGAATAGCGTGGCTGCCTTCAAGAATCCTCCGAGCAACCTCGAATACTGCTGTTCCAGTCAGAGGTTGGTGCTCAGGTCGAGGCTGCTCAGATTCGCTTTTAAGGCTAAGATATCGTAGAGCTGAAATATAAGGATAAATTATACATGGAGACTGAGTACAGGTGGCCAGGAAGTTAGAATAGAGGTTGTTAAGAGGTTGTGAAGAGGTTGTTGATAGTTCAGAAAAGAGGTTGTTCAGAGGTTAGAATGAGGTTGTTCCGAGGTCTGAAAAGAGGTAGTTTAGATGTTAGAATGGAGATTATTGAGAGGGAAGAATGGAGGTTATCAAAAGGTTAGAATAAAGGTTGTTAATAGGATAGAATATACGTTATTTAGAGATTGTTGATTGGTTAAAATAGAGGTTGCTAAGAGATTATAATAGAGGTGTTACGAGGTTAAAATAGAGGTTGTTGAGAGGTTAGAATAGAGGTTGTTTACAGGTGAGAATAGAGGTTGTTGAGAGGTTAGAATAGAGGTTGTTTACAGGTTAGAACAGAGGTAGTTTAGAGGTTAGAATAAAGATTGTTTACAGTTTAGAATAGAGGTTGTTGAGAGATTAAAATAGAGGTTGTTTACAGGTTAGAATAGAGGTTGTTGAGAGGTTAGAATAGAAGTTGTTTACAGGTTAGAATAGAGGTTGTTGAGAGGTTAGATTAGAGGCTGTTTAGAGGTTAGAATGAGGTTGTTTAGAGGTTAGAATAGAGTTTGTTGAGAGGTTAGTATAAAGGTTGTTTAGAGGTTGTTGAGGAGAGGTTAGAATGAGGTACATACAGAGATACATTTAAAAGGCTGTTGCAAACGAGACTATAGGTTGTTAAAGAGTGATAAGTTGGATGCTGTTGAGATAATTTTTTTAGAGATTATAAGTTTTTGAGATATTATAAGGTTTTTGAGATTAAAGTAATATCATGAATTAAAAGTACATTTAAAAGGTTTATAAAAAATATTAAGAAGGGGAAAATAGAAGCATTCCAAAAATCAAGGTCAATCTTAATGGCTTTGAAATCATAAATAAGGTTTTGAAGAAAACAGTTCTCTTCAATAATTTATATTCTCTTCTAATGTTTAGGATGTAATTATCAGTATTATTATTTAGTTAAAGGTGAAATATCATTATTATCAAGCTAGATCTATAATCGTAATTATCTTTATATTAATTATGTTTTAATGTAATAACAAAGAGAGCAGAAGAATAATTAGTTAACAAATAAATAATCATCGCTTACAGATTTTTCTTTGAATTTTATAAAAATATTTTAAAAATATAAAATTTGAATTTAGCTTTTAGTTTTTGAGAATTGATTTAGCACAAATATCAAGGAACAAGAAGGAAAATATTTAATATCTAAAACTAGTCTATGGTATACAATATATCATAAACTAAATATATTTTCTATATTATATAATTGTACTTTACGTATTTGCAACTAAAATCCTTGCATGTTAGTAAATTCTTCAGCTGTTTAAACAACAGATTGAAAAAAGTATGTTTTTATCACGATTGTTCAAACGCAAGGAAAACAACAAAAAAAAACTTTTTCTTGTTAATATATGTCTTCTGGTTGACAAATGAAAATTTAATACTTACGATCGAAGGGTCCAGAGGTTGGAAGTTTCGGAATATCAAAGTTTGTCCGAAGGAGAAGTTCCATTTTAACTTTTTATTATTTTTTATATTTCGTTTAGTTGTGTGCACACATTACAAATCTGTGGTATAGTGTCCTTCCTAGCTCTGCGTAACTGCGACTGGTCGGGGGGATGTGTCGCCACTCCGGCAGGACTGTCGCATTGTCGCGGCGGCCCGGACCCGCCGGCACGGTGACGTCACAGCGGCCATACTTGACATGAGACATAGGATTGGTCGACTAGAGGGCACTCTCTGCTCCCCGCATACCCTAGCATCCACCCATACATATATATATACATACAGGGAGAGAGAGAGAGGCTCAAGAGACATTACGGTGTCAACTGACACACCTTAGAGAAAGCTGAAATAGCCTAGCTCAGGCAACAAGGCATATTATGCAAACTGTTGTATTGCAAAGCAGTCAGAGATATTTATGCAATTTAATTTTTGGTTGAATTTGAAAACTCTGGTTTTTGCTGCTCAGGGCTACCATTGGAAATAGAGAGCTTGGTTGGGTTGGTTAAACTGGTTTTATCAATTAGAATTTAGATAAAGATGACAAGAAGATAGAGCAGATAACTGCGTAGCTAGACAGATAGAGAGACAAGAGCAATCATTAAATATTAACGAAATAATTTCTAAAACACATAGCTGGGGCAGAAACCCAACCATAATAAACGTAAAACGGGAAAAGAAAGTATAAAAACTTAAAAAATGAAGAAAAAAAGTGTTCTTTGTATCTTAGGGATATTTTTTTCTTTTTTACTGTCATTTTCGCTTTGCAGTTCAAGTAATATTCAACCTTAAACTTTGAAAATGAGTGAACACTGGATATTGTAAAAGAGTTTTAGAGTTAACACTTATGAGTATATGTGACAGAATGAAATATAAGAATTAAGACCAGATTAAAAACAATCACGAAACCTTTTAGAGGAAAAAAACCATTGTTTGGACTAAAAATATAAACATTTTGTATTGGTAAAACATTGGTAGTTTAATAACGGTGGGGTCAGTTAAAATGAATACATTTTCAAAATTAATTTATTTTACTTTATGAAAAAAATAAAAACATCACTGAAATGAATAATAGGTTAATAACATATCTCTTTTATTTATGAGATACTGATGTAAGTGTATAATTTATAAATATCAATATGATATATTATAGATATTGATGTAAATATATAATTGATAAAATATCTCTATGATATATAGATATTGATGTAAATATATAATTGATAAAATATCTCTATGATATATTATAGATATTGATGTAAATATATAATTGATAAAATATCTCTATGATATATTAGATACTGATGGCAAGTCCAAAAACCTAAATCGGATTTTATCAATCTAATAGCTCAGCTTTGTATTATTGATTTTTACCTTATATGGTTAAAAAATTAAGTGTGTAATAGTTGGCTGGTGTGTGGAGACACTAACATACACACCATTATCACTGCAGACAAACATTAACATAAATTTAAAATTTTATGTGGATGATGATCAAAAGTTCGAGGAGTAAAGAAGTTCTAGGTGGTAAACATTAAAAAATCTTTTAAAAGTTTAAAAACAGGTTGTCAGATGAAAAAATAACTAATTCAGATCATGAAATGTAAAAAATATAATTTGAAAATATTAACTTTTTAAAAAATGTTTAAAGACAAAACTTAAACCCTTAACAATAAGTTCTGTAATTCTTCTAATAATCCTCATCAGAAGCATTTTTTAGGTCTTTACACACTTTTCTGCGTCACTTTTTTAGGTCTTTACACACTTTTCTGCGTCACTTTTTTCGATGAAGAAAGAAAATGAACAGTAAAGATATTATATTTAATAAATCACTCAAATGAGTGGCATGGCCGATTCATAGCGGTACCTTTTAAACCTGTTTTAAACCTCTATATAAGTAACAAGAAGTAATAATATCCCTCCCATAAATCCGCAAAATACTTATATAGAGAAACAACAAATAAAAAATATAAATTTTCAGCTTTAAAAATAAGGATATCTTTTTCATTAGTGATCAGACATCAGGACTAAAGAACCCATTGTGAATAGTACATGCCACTCTAAAAATGAAGGGTCACTTGAATTTACGACAATATTATTCCTTTTAATGTGATTTTTTTTTGAAAATCCGCGAATGGGTAAGGTTGAGAAACCGAGTCTCTCTCTCTGTCTCTCTATTTAGTTTTTATCTTCGGTTTATAATTTACTGCAATGCGTCATGAGTGAGTATTAGGAAAATACCTTTTAATACAGTTAGGATAGTTTATTAAATACCATTTAGTACAGTTAGGATAATTTATGAAATACTATTTAGTACAGTTAGGATAGTTTATTAAATACCATTTAGTACAGTTAGGATAATTTATTAAATACTATTTAGTACAGTTAGGATAGTTTATTAAATACCATTTAGTACAGTTAGGATAATTTATTAAATACTATTTAGTACAGTTAGGATAGTTTATTAAATACCATTTAATCCAGTTAGGATAGTTTATTAAATACTATTTAGTACAGTTAGGATAGTTAATTCAATACCATTTAGTACAGTTAGGATTGTTTATTAAATACCATTTAATACAGTTAGAATAGTTTATTAAAAACAATTTAGTACAGTTAGAATAGTTTATTCATTACCATTTATTGCAGTTAGGATAGTTTATTAAATACTATTTAGTGCAGTTAGGATAGTTTATTAAATACTATTTAGTACAGTTAGGATAGTTTATTAAATACCATTTAGTTCAGTTAGGATAGTTTATTAAATACTATTTAGTGCAGTTAGGATAGTTTATTAATTACCATTTAATACAGTTAGGATAGTTTATTAAATGCTATTTAGTGCAGTTAGGATAGTTTATTAATTATTATTTAGTGCAGTTAGGATTGCTTATTAATTACCATTTAATACAGTTAGGATAGTTTATTAAATGCTATTTAGTACAGTTAGGATAGTTTATTAAATACTATTTAGTGCAGTTAGGATAGTTTATTAAATACCATTTAATACAGTTAGGATAGTTTATGAAATACGGTTGGTTGCTTCAATATATAATTCAATTGCGTTTTGTTCTATAATTCAAATATCTTTAAAATTACGGAGTTTTCTTTTTTAATTTTTTATATTGAAAAAGCATCCGCCCACAAAATAGCATTAAAGAAGAAAAGAAAAGGTTTAGTTTAAAGGGTCCAAATGTGACCTTGCTTGATGGGAAATGGACCAAACTGTTCAATCTGCGTGAGAAGTGACAAAGTCATGGTCCCTTTAAGTAAATCAATTTATTAGTAAAGTTGAATCAGTTTGAATTCGAAAATGATGAAAGACATGTGTGTGTATATTTAGAACGGACTTAATTAATAGTTTTCACATTTTAAATTATTATTCTATTATGTCAATAATAACTCACGGCTTTTAAAGTAATGAATGAAAATAGTCTTTGATCTTCATAGTAGGAATCTGACACTTAAAGGAAATATAATGTATCTTTCAATTATAATTCATAAAAAAAACTCCTAATTTAAAAATTAACCAAAATATTTAAAAAAAATTAGTTAGAAAACATTTCTCTAAATACATTCTGAATTTTTATTTCTAATGAATGTTTAACGAAGTCCTATCTATATATTCTTGGTTTACAGTTTTCCTATTTTACCCTCTTAACTTGGAATATTCCTGATTTACTGTTCTCCTATTTGATCCTATTATCTTGGAATATTCCTGGTTTACAGTTCTCCTATTTATTATCTTGGAATATTCCTGGTTTACAGTTCTCCTATTTGATCCTATTATCTTGGAATATTCCTGGTTTACAGTTCTCCTATTTATCTTATTATCTTGGAATATTCCTGGTTTACAGTTCTCCTATTTTATCCTATTATCTTGGAATATTCCTGGTTTACAGTTCTCCTATTCATCCTATTATCTTGGAATATTCCTGGTTTACAGTTCTCTTATTTATCTTATTATCTTGGAATATTCCTGGTTTACAGTTCTCCTATTTATCCTATTATCTTGGAATATTCCTGGTTTACAGTTCTCCTATTTAATCCTATTATCTTGGAATATTCCTGGTTTACAGTTCTCCTATTTTATCCTATTATCTTGCAATATTCCTGGTTTACAGTTCTCCTATTTGATCCTATTATCTTGGAATATTCCTGGTTTACAGTTCTCCTATTTTATCCTATTATCTTGGAATATTCCTGGTTTACAGTTCTCCTATTTTATCCTATTATCTTGGAATATTCCTGGTTTACAGTTCTCCTATTTGATCCTATTATCTTGGAATATTCCTGGTTTACAGTTCTCCTATTTTATCCTATTATCTTGGAATTCAACCCTCGGCATAAAATTGAGACAATTGTCTAAATCCAATCTAGCGACTTCTCTTTGTAAATTCTAAAATGTAAATTCAACTTGAATTGTGAAAATCCGAGAGCGTTGAACTCTTTTTACAACATGGAAACCCTAACCAAATTTTGTGATATAATTGCTAAAAAGAAGAAGTTTTCAAGTTTTTGTCATTAGATCAGTTGTAAACCACAAACTCTTGCCGGACGAAGAAGATTGTACACTATTGAGTGTCGTTTACAGAGCCAACAGTTTAAACAGATTTAGATAAACTTAAATACAATTTTTACCGAGCTTAACTAGGGATAGTTAAACTTAAGTTTAATCTTAGTAGAGTTAACTTCCGACTCCGCGGAGTTGGTTGCGACCAAAAAACTAGTTCACGTTTTCTTCCATCCTGTAACCAAGCAATGTCCCATAAAAGTTAATTCCATAGTGACCAACAGGATGTTCCAATAATAAAATGATAGATAGATAGGTTTCGGACAGCTGACAAACTAAGCTTACTTAGAAAAAACAAGATTTTTAAAATATGAATGTAGTCAAAATAAAAAAAATCTTGAAAATTTTCAAAACTACCGAAACCTTGCTTCCAGGACAGGTTTGTTTGTTTGTTTTCACCGTAATTAGATCTTGTTATAAATAGTAAACACAAAAGCAAGAATATTATGATAGTTAAGGGTTTAAAGATCCTGACTAACCGAGGGTTTACTGCTTTAATATCTGTGAAATCTAAAGTTTAATGTTTGAACAAAAGAAGTTTATCCCCAGCAGAATTAGTATTTTATGAGCCCAATTTACTAACAAAGAGAAGGACGACAATTCACCTTTAAAAAAGGATTTTTAATTGTTTTTCCAAAGTTTGTCCTACAAAGGTTAATTGGTTTAATTGAATGTGGGGGGAAGGATGTTGGAGAAGGTTGATTGTGATCCTAGAGCCTGAGGCGGAGCAGTGATCGATCTCCGGGTTCAGGTTCAGGTTTCCCCTCTCCTCCAACCCGCTCA